CAATATGCTGACTCTGTAAACCGCTTAGAGAGGGCTGAAAGCCCTATGAAGCGGTATATAAGTCTAACTGCTATTGCTATTCAGGGCCATGTACAAGCTCCTGAAAGAAATAGATATATTTTTGAAGTAAACTCTCTTAAACAAATAAAGTCTTTGGTCAAGGACAGTTCAAACCTCAGCTACATATATTCTCTTCTATAAATATGATATGATTTTGGAAAATATACTTTCTGAATATGGTAGGTGTTCAAATTTGACAGAATTGAACAATGTTTTCTATGTAAACAGTAATAAACTAGAATGGCTTATGCATTAATCTAGTACAATGTGTTGAACTATGTCCAACTTGGTTAATACAAATTAAAAGTTTAATTGTATTTTCTTCTTTGTTAACACAGATTTACTGGGCAATATAATATACTATAGTAATGGAGTTATACAATGTATCTGTAAATTTTTTGTATCTGTTTTCAGGAGCATGTCTTATCGATCGTGATGGCAATCTTTTTAAATACCTCTTAAATTATCTTCATGGAGAAGTTTGGATTCCTGAAAATGAGGAAACACGAATGGCATTACAAGAAGAAGCTGATTATTTCGGCATCCCTTACCCTTACAGTCTTGTTGACCATCTAGCTAATGAAATGGAGACATACTGCTTTAAAACAAATGTAGAACTTAAGAAGGTCAGAATTTTCCTATGTTCTTAAATTGTTCTGCAATATATACTCAAAATTTGATGGAAGGACAAGTAATGCATATTTCTCAGGTGGGAAATAACTTTTACCCTTTTATTTGGGCTTATTCCACAAACCATTTTGTCTAGGATGGGCTGGCAGTGAAAAACGTTTTTTAAAAAAAGTTAGCCGTGTGTGTGTGCCTGTGTGTGTGTGTGTGTGAATACATGTGAATAAATATTTATTTATTATTGGTAGGACTAAAGAAAATATTTGCAGTGTAATGTGCCAATCCTCACAATCCAATTGTAAGACATTTTTCATGCACTTATATCCATGTTTTTATGCATACAGACAAAAATAAAACCTTTCTTTTCAAATTTCAAATAAAATAAAAA